CCCTAACTCTAAATAAAACACAAAATATGGCTGGGGAAGTGGCTCAGTGGTCCAGGGCTCCCAAGTTCAATCCCTGGTACCACCAAAAAAGAAAAAAAAAAAAGTTTTAGCAAGCTCTGGGACTATTGAGTTGAAAGGAAAACTAGCTTTAAGATAGATTTGTACACTCTTACAAAGTGAAATACTGGTTGCCAGGGCAGAAAGAGGAACAGGGAAAGGGAGTTATTCAGTGAGTATAGGGTTTCAGTTCTGCAGGATGGAAAAATCCTAGAGAGCTGTGGCACAGCCATGTGTGTGCTGTAAGTCTACTGTACTATACGGTAAAAAATGGTTTTGATGGTAAATTTTGATGTGGGGTGTGTGTGTGTGTGTGTGTGTGTGTGTGTGTGTGTGTGTGTTTAACCACAATTTAAAAAGCAAGCTTGCCTCTTATGTCTCATCACTTGGCTAGCAAGCTAGCAATGAGGTTGGCTCAGGCTAGGCCCTTAATAAATGGAACCAGAAGGAAAGCAGACCTAGGAATGGAAGGAATCAAAGTAGACTCAAAGTTCCTTATGTAGAGAACCACTGATATTGCCATGCATTCCAAATATTCCAATCTTAGCTTAGCTTTATTGTTTTAGGAATCCTTATTCCTTGATGATCAGGTTTGCCTGGCATACCAAGACAAACTAGATAGGGATGGACACTTATCATTCTTTTTTTTTTCTAAAGAGAGTTAGAGAGAGAGAGAGAATTTTTTAATATTTATTTTCTAGTTTTCGGCGGACACAACATCTTTGTTTGTACGTGGTGCTGAGAATCGAACCCGGGCCGCACGCATGCCAGGCGAGCGCGCTACGGCTTGAGCCACATCCCCAGCCCCGGATGGACACTTATCAATGAGCCATATATAGAGAGAAAGGAGCTAAATCTTAGTTGAGGGTGGGAAAATGGCCTGAAGGACATTTTTTCCTTTTTTTTTTTTTTTTTTTTTTTTTTGTGGTTCTGATCTGAGGACTGAACCCAGGGCTTCTCATACAGCTATACCACCAACCCCTGAAGGTCCACTTTTTAAAAGATGTGGTAGAAACAAGCCAAATCCAGCAGGGTATAAACTGAGAGTAGTTTCATAGTTCTTGGAAAAGTTCTTAATCATTTTTTCTCTTAATCTTAATCTTTTCTCATAAAGATATGTTAAATATAAGCACAGGTCAAAATGTCCTTACATAGGGCAACATAGGGCAAAAGTTTCATGACCCCAGATTTGGCAATGATTTTTTGGATATTACATCAAAGTACAGGCAACAAAAGAAAAAAAAACAGACAAGTTGAACTTCCTCGAAAATTTTCTAGCTATTATTATTCATAATAGCTAGAAAGATGGGCTGGGGATGTAGCTCAGCGGTAAAGTGCTTGCCTACCAATGTGAGGCCCTGGGTTCAATCCCTAAGACTGCAGCAGCGCTAGGAGCTAGAAGATGGAAACAAGCCATAACAATGTTGCATACCTACAATAAAAGCTACTCAGGAGGCTAAGGCAAGAAGATTACAAATTAGAGGTCAACCTCAGCAATTTAAATCCTATCTTAGGCTGGGATTGTAGTTCAGTGGTGGAACACTTGCCTAGCAAGTGTGAGGCACTGGGTTCAATTCTCAGAACCACATAAAAATATAGATATTGTGTCCATCTACAACTAAAAACATTAAAAGGAAGAAAGATTCCATCTCAAAATTGAAAAAATAATGGAAAGGGCTGGGATGTAGTTCAGTGGTAGAATGCCCTAGATTCAATCCCTAGTACCTAAATAAATAAATAAATAAATGGTGGAAACAACCTACATGTCCATCAATGCAATGAATGAATTATTATTCAGTCTTAAAAAAATAAATTCCAATACATGCAACAACACGGAAGAACCTTGAATACACTATGCTACAAGAAATAAGAAGTCACAAAATATATGATTCCACTAAGACACCTAGCATAGTCAAATTGTTTACTGGCAACAGTGGCTACCTCTTGAGGATCATAAAGAATGGTGTTTATTATTTGATGACTAAAGAGGTACTTCAGTACACTTTCAGAGAAAGTTCTAGAGAGACAAATAATGATGGCTGCACAATGGTGTAAATGTATTTAATGCCACTGAACATATTCTTAAAATTTTAAAAATGGTAAATTTCTTGTCGTGTACATTTTAGCACATGTAAAAAAAACAAGTCAAAATGAAAAAGCTTTACAGACAAATAAAATGTCTGCATATACACTATAAAAATGCTTGCAGTTTATTATGCTAGAAAATGCAAGACTATTGAGTCATACTAAGGGCATTAACTCATTAAAAAAAAAATTTGCACTCCTTGAAGTCAATGAAAACTGACAGAAAACTGTTCTCTCTCTTCTGGATGTTTGAAAAGAAAGCCTACTGTGAGAGACTGGGCTTTATTTAATCAGCAATAATGTATAGCCTTTGATGTCTTAGAAGAGAGGCTAAATGTATCTGGGGTCATCAGGAATCAAGAATAAACAAATCTCTTGGGGCTGGGGATGTGGCTCAAGCGGTAGCGCGCTCGCCTGGCATGCGTGCGGCCCGGGTTCGATCCTCAGCACCACGTACAAACAAAGATGTTGTGTCCGCCGAAAAACTAAAAACTAAATATTAAAAAATTCTCTCTCTCTCTCTCTTTAAAAAAAAAAAGTACATGTATGAAGACTCGAATTGGGTGTCAACATACTTTAAAAAAAAAAAAAAAAGAATAAACAAATCTCTTGCCAGAAGAAACCGGCAAGCTGGGCAGGCATATGTTTTTAAAAAGCCCTATATTGTCTACTAGCTAAGTGCTATAAATTCCAGTTAACACCTATCCATGGTCTTTAGGTTTTATTTTAGGAGTACTTTAGAATCTACTAGGAATAAAATTCTTAATTTTTTTTCTTACTCATTCTGCGGCTAACAGCTGCAGGGCCCTACTACATGCCAAAGCCAGCTCTTTGAAAAGCTGCGAATACTCTTAACATTAAGTGACATTAGCATTAATGTTCATAAGTGAAGGGAGAGAAGTGCTCCAATAATGTTGGAGATAAGCAAGGCAGTCAAATAACTCTAATCTGATAGTGCTGAGAATAAAAACAAGTACATTATAATGCTGTCTGTCATTCAGCACTCTTCAAAGACAGTTAGGGAACAGAAGCAACAGCTATTTTAAGGGTGGTTTTGAAAAGGGTCCCAGAATAGTGTCACCCTCCCTGCCCCAACCCCCAAGTGAAAAGGAATGTTAAAGGGAGATTTACCTAAGTATACAAAAACTCCATGACAGAAAGAACTATACATATTCATTGTTGATCCCTACTACACAGCACCATATCTTGTATTACAGCAGGCAATTATTATCAGTTGATTTACTTTCCCATTCTTTTATAGGTCCTCTTCCTCTCCACAGGACTCACTCCATCTCTGGCTCATGGACTCTTTTTGAGAGGCACTTTCATCACTTCATTTAACTTTGAAAGAAGTTGGAGGAGGGTGAGGACATGTGCTTGCTAATCATCCTTTTCCAGATTGTCTCATGCACCAGAATGAGCTTTTATTATTGGTCTGTGGCTGCTTCTGCTGGAGAAAGATTTCAGCCTGACCTTCCCAAGCTGCTAGGGATGAATGCTGCACGTGGCTGACAGTGAAAATGTGTCTTCCTATTTTTTAAAAAAGCTTTTAGGCTAACCAGAGCTCACTGATGTAGGAAAGTCATCCCTTTTCTCACTGTTCAGAATTCAAGGTGTTGCATTCTTCTGCATAAAAATGACATAGAAACTGACACAAATGGGTCCAAGAGAAAAAGACAGCAGCATCAGGAAGCACCTCACAGAGAGCACAGCATCAAAGAATAGGACTCCAGACTGCTCTATAGGCAGAAAGGAAAAAAATAAAAAATAAAAGCCATTTATAACAGAGTTTTAAATGTGAGGATGGATTCACACAGCTGGCCTCACAAAAGAGAACAAATATGTCAAAGGGAACAACTGACAGACTAATAGAGTACTATCCATCTGGCTGAGGAAAGAAGCACTGGGGAATACTGAGAAGCCTGTCTGTTAGGAAAAAACTTGCCTTGTGCTTCATTGGGTGAACTGAATAGCTTTTAGGAACACTGAACACATGGTCATACCATAGCTGCTGGCTGGTCCTGTCAGGAAGAAGCTCAGAAAAGGGGTACAATGATGCATTGGCAAGCAAGGGAGAAAGGAGCATATGTGATCTTCTTATTGGCTTGGAATCCATACCCTGGCCCCTCCAACTTGGGAGGAGGATGAGAAGAAAGGAAGGGGAATCATGTGAAGAAGATATCTTATTTTCTGCTTTTAAAAATGGACTCAAGTGTCTCGGAATGAAACATCAGGTTCAACCCTATGCCATGCTAATGCCCCATCTGTACTTTTATATAATGTAGAGCTGAGTGCAGGCACTTTGGGAGAAGGGGAAATCAGGCCAGATTCAAGTAAAGCAAAACACAAGCTCTCTGCATTTCCATCTCAGTCCATACCATAAAAAAGCCTGCTCAGAAAATAATTGCTCAAGGCAAAGGGAACTCAATTACTAAGGAAAATCTGTCCCAAAAAGGGCTCATGTTTTAACGAGCCCAAAAGCTTCAAATTAAGCTGAACTAAGGGTTTTTCTAATTGGCAGTTTTATACATTTCTAAGATCTCGTTTCTTACTTTCAAAAATCAAAAATGACTCTAAGATTTTAAAAAGTAATGATTTATCACCCACTCTAAAACAATAATTCACCAAATTTTCAACTATATTTCTCCTATGTAATTAAACAAACCGTGCAGATGGCACAAATGCAGAAGATATTACTTGCTATTTTAAGTACTATCAAGCAATCCTGTACTAATTCCTCTCAAACGGCCTGGCTCTTGCCATTCCCGTTCAGTCACAGAATCACCTGCCACCAGAGAGAAGGCAACTGATTGATCCTAGCCACCAACTAGGTCACTCTGTGAAGAGTAATGGCTTACCTGCTCCTCTGACAGTTGGGATATGTGATTCACAGCAGCATAGGACTCAATTTTGGGGTTAAAGTGGTTGATGATGGCTCTGAAACAAAGAATTAAAATTAATATAGTACCAGATGGGAGAAGAGGATAAACTGGTTAAAAACAAGGATTGAGTACCCTCTGGCTTAGAGTACTAGATCATGGGAGTGATTGTCAGAAGGTAATTGTCTTCTTACTAATCATGAGATTACAAATGGAAGTGAATTAACAACTTTGAATAGGAAGAGTTTAATAATTTATTAGAGGACAGAACCAAGCATCTCCACTATGCAAATGAAGCAGAAAAATCTACAACCAAACAAGCTAAACAAAGAAAAAATATGTGAGTCCTTCAGATAAGAAACAGGACCAAGGGTGCTGGGTGCCAGAGGGCCCTTATGTTTCAATCAAAAAGGGAAGTTGTGAGGGGAGTGAAAGAAGGGGTGGGGCAGTGGGGATGGGAAGGACAGTGGAATGAGACAATACATTATTACCCTATATACATGTATGATTACACTACTGGAGTGATCTGCACCATGTACAGCCAGAGGAATGAGAAGTATGCTCCATTTGTGTACAATATGTCAAAATGCATTCTACTGTAAAATAAAAACATAATAAACTTTTTCTCTTTACAAAAAAAAAAAAGAAGAAAAGAAAGGGAAGTTGTTTTTCTCAGCTCTGACTTGGGAGAACAAGACTCTGAGAATGTTGGTTCAATATATAGGCTAAATACAATCTCTCAAGAAACTCACCTTCATCAAGGCTATAAACAATGTTCACAATTTTTAGTATATAGTTTTAATCTCTGTTTTCCACCCCCTTGGTCATTACTAGGGATTGAACCCAAGGTGTTCCACTACTGAAGTACATTCACAGTCCTTTTTATCTATCTATCTATCTATTTATCTATCTATCTATCTATCTATTTATTTTAGTTGTAGATGGCCACGATCTCTTTATTTATTTATTTTTATGTGGTGCTGAGAACTGAACCCAGGTCCTCACAGGTACGAGGCAAGGGCTCTACCACTGAACTACAACCCCAGCCCAAGTCCTTTTTATTTTTATTTTTTTTAATATTTATTTTTTAGTTGTAGTTGGACACAAAGGTATTGTACCTTTATTATTATTWTTTTATTTTATTTTTATTTTACTTTTTTACCATACGATTTATTATTTTTTTTAGTCATACATGACAGCAGAATGTATTTTGACATATAATACACACATGGAATGTACATACATCCATCATATTGTCTATTCTATTCTGTTGCCCTTCCTATCCCTCCTACTCCTCCCCTCCTCTCCCATCCTTTCTCTCTATCCAATCAATTATTTTTAATTATATTTTTAGGTGGTGCTGAGGATCAAACCCAGGGCCTCACATAGCACTCTACCGCTGAGCCACAACCCCAGCCCCCCTTTTTATTTTTTATATTGAGATGTGGTCTCATTAAATTGTTGAGGCTGGCTTCAAATCTGTGATTCTCATTGCCTTAGATTCCAGAGTAGTCAGGATTAGAGGTGTGCACTACTGCATTCAGTTCAACCCCAAATTTTAATCCCAACCATTCAACCCAAAATCTGAGTTATCATTTTTCAAAAATTCCTGCTGCATCGCTCCCTAGCTTCCAAGGTTACCAAGTCTTATCAGCCCCACCTCAAAAATGTCTAAAATCTGAAATAAATATATTTCCCTGAAACCAATATCTTGGGATAAATTCTTGTCATTTCTAGCCAGGTTCAGCAGAAAGAATATTGGGTTTTAAATCAAGGTTTCACAGGAGTTCATACTGATATAAATAAATGATTAAGAAAATGGGTAAAAGAACCAAGTCTTTCTCTCTCTCTCTCAATCTCTGTACTGGGGATTGAGCACAAGGCCTTGCAAATGCTAGGCAAACACTCTACCTCTGAGCTACGTCCCCAACCCAAACCAAATCCTTCTAATATAATAATTCAAGTAACATGTGTAGATATTCTCTCCTATAGGAGGTAAAGTTTAAATTCCACCCTTAAGGAAGAGCTAGATTTAGTGCCTTATTTAGGATAGCAAAAGGACAAAACAGTAATTTTACAGTAAAGAAACCTAGCAAATGCTAATTTAATCGAATGATAAAGGTTAACATCACCAGTGATATCATGGGAATTTCATGTAACCCCTATTGTAATATCATGAGAAGGGCACTTCACCTCTGTTGTTTTCTTCCAAAAGCTATAACCCTAATCTAAACGTAAGAAAAATATCAGACAAATCCAGGCAGGGGACATTCCACAGCATCTCAGTCCTCCTTAAGATTGTGAATGTCCTGAAAAATAAGACTTGAGAAATTGTCACAGACTAGAGGACACCAGGGAGATACAACAACTAAATATAGCATGGTACCCTGGACTGGATCCTGTACATAGAAATAGAATATTAATAAATAAACTGGTGAASTCTAAGTAAAATACAGAGTTTTAGTTAACAGTGATGTAACAATGCAGTTTCTTTTGTTGACAGATGTACTATGTTAATGTAAGATGAGTAAAAGTAGGCCGAGGGTACATAGGAACTCTGTACACTATCTTTGCACTTTTTTTTTTTGAGAGTACTTATTATATTTTATTTTGCATGCTCACAAATTGCGGGAATGTTTTTAACAAAAAATGTAGTAAAACACTCATGAAATAGATGTGTGGTATTTTTTAAAATTTTAAATAAAGTACATGAAGTATAGTATCAATTTCTTTTTCTTTATAAATCTAAAATTATTCCAAAAGAAAAAGTTTATTAAAATGTGTGTGCATGCATGCCAGTGGCACACATCCCAGCAGCTTTGGAGGCTGGGATGGGAGGATTGAGAGTTCAAAGTCAGCCTCAGCAACAGCGAGGCGCGAAGCAACTAAGTGAGACTCTGTCTCTAAATAAAATACAAAATGGGCTGGGGATGTGGCTCAGTGGTCCTGAGTTCAATCCCTGGTACCCTCCTCCGTAAAAAAAAAAAAAAAAAAAAATGTGTGTGCATGACAGAGCATAATAGAAATGAACATTTCCTTTTAATATGATATCCATTGATAGTAAAAAAATTATAGACCCATTTTATCTAATGCAAGTAATAATAGCAATAAGGCAGAAGCTTAAAAAATATCATAGCTTGTTATTTTATTTTCATAATAAGACATGGTCTTATTATGTTTCCTGGGCTGGTGTTGAACTCCTTGGAAATCCTTCCTTCTCAGCCTCCCAAGTAGCTGGGACTATAGGTGTGCACCACCATGCCTGAAAAATCATAATTTGGCTGGTTGACCATTTGTTATTCTGATTCTTGGTAAACCATGTATCTCACCAAAGGAAAAAGTGGTAACAATCACACTTAGCATAGTACCTGGGAATAGTACATTATAGGCATATAATAAAGGTATGCTGAAAGAAGCTGGGAGCAATGGTACACTCCTATAATCCCAGCTACTCAGAAAGCTGAGGCAGAAACTTTGAGTTCAAGGCCAGACTGGACAATTCAGCAAAACCCTATCCCAAAATAAAAAATAAAAAGGGCTGAGGATATAGCTCAGTGGCAGAGCATCAAGGTTCAATTGAAACCTAAAAAAGTATTGGGGGAAAAAAAAGTTTGCTGAAAGAATGACTAAACCTTGAGAGGGTTCTTACAATATTTATATGATATATAAAATAAATATATAACATTTATGTAACTGTATATACTATAATAAAAACCTGGAAAAGCAATGTCAAATGTTTGGCACACAGCTGGTGCTCAATAAATATTCAATGAGTGAATAAATCAAACAGGATAGAAATGGGTCAGGAGAAGAGTTCTGAAAACTAATTTTTCTAGAGAATAACAAGAGGAGCAGACATAATATCTGTCTGTTAAGACTGAGGCTTGGGGGCTGGGGATGTGGCTCAAGCGGTAGTGCGCTCGCCTGGCATGCGTGCGGCCCGGGTTCGATCCTCAGCACCTCATACCAACAAAGATGTTGTGTCCGCCGAGAACTAAAACATAATAAATATTAAAAATTCTCTCTCTCTCACTCTCTCTCTCCTCTCTCACTCTCTCTTTAAAAAAAAAAAAAAGACTGAGGCTTGGGGGTGCACCACATACCAACAAAGATGTTGTGTCCGCCGAGAACTAAAACATAATAAATATTAAAAATTCTCTCTCTCTCACTCTCTCTCTCCTCTCTCACTCTCTCTTTAAAAAAAAAAAAAAGACTGAGGCTTGGGGGTGCTGGGTTGTGGCTCAGTGGTAGAGCACTTGCCTCCCATGTGTGAGGCACTGGGTTGGATCCTTAGCATCACATAAAAAAATGAATAAAATAAAGATATTGTGTCCATCTACAACTAAAAAAAAAATATTAGAAAAAAAAAAGATTGAGGCTTGGGGGCTGGGGCTGTAGCTCAGTGGCAGAGTGCTTGCCTAGCACGCGTGAACACTGGGTTCGATCCTCAGCACCATATATTTGTTATTATAAAAATAAACAAATAAAATAAAGGCATTCTATCCATCTCCAACTACAAAAAATATTTTAAAAAAAGAAAAGAAAAAAGATTGAAGCTTGGTGTAAATCCAAGGTGGAAAAGAATTTTRTAACCAAACATTTTGTCAAATATGTTTTTTACTCAGAGAAACACTCAGAGGGTGAAGTTTGAGTTTACTGTCAGAGATGACCACAGCCTAGAAGCAAATGAATCTGATTGATGCTTCAAAATAAAAAGTGATCTATTTGGACTTCGTTGAGTTTAAAAGATTTTGTGTGGCAAAAACCCATCAAGAAAGTGAAAAGAGGACCTACAGAATAGGAGAAAATATTTGCAAGTCCATTGTTTGATAAGGAATTTAAAGCCAGAATATATAAAGAATTCCTACAATTCAACATTAAAAAGGAAAGTAACCTAATTATTTAAAGGAGCAAAAGATTTGATATATGTGAAAATAAGCTCAACAACATTAGTCATTAAGGATTTTAAATGCAAATCAAAACCATAAGATAGCCAGGCATAAGGCCATTGCAAATCTGCCCCAGAGGCAGAGGCGGAGGCAGGAGGATCTTGAGTTC